TCCTGATGTTTTCTTTGTGTTATTTCTTACAACTATCTGTAAATCCACATTTATCAAAAATAAATGCGTAATAATAAATAAATGCAAATCAAGACTTTTACAGAAATAATAAAAAGAATTCATCATCAGCAGACTTCCAGTGTAAGAGGTATTATAGACATTAAAAAGTGTTCATGACATTAGAAAATAATACTACATTGTAACTTGTATGTACAAAAAGAAATAAAGGGTACTATAAATTATAACTAGATATGAAAACATAAAGCCATTTTCTCTTCTTTTAGTTACTTTCTAAATCTTTCTTTTTAAAAACATTTTATTTCAGGTTCAGGGGTACAAGTATAGCTTCATTATATAGGTAAATTGCATGTCATGGGAGTTCAGCATACAGATTATTTTGTCACCCAGATAGTGTGCATGTACTTGATAGGTAGTTTTTCATTTTTCTTTCTCTACCCACCCTCCACCTTCGAGTAGGCCCCAGTGTCTGTTATTTCCTTCTTGTGTCCATGTATACTAAATGTTTAGCTTCCACTTATAAGTGAGAACGTTTGGTACCTATATGGTTTTTCACTCCTGTGTTAGTTTGCTTAGGATAATGGCCTCTATCTCCACCCATGTTGCTACAAAGGACATAATCTCATTCTTTTTTATGGCTGTGTAGTATTCCATGGTGTATAGGTACTACATTTTCTTTTATCCAGTCTACCATTGATGGACATTTGGGTGAATTTCATACTAAAGCAGAATTCTTATTATTTAATGTCTTTTAAAAATAATGACTTATTCAGAGCAAAACCCACAATAGCAATGTATTGTAAAGTTTTTAAAAATTGTATAAGTAGAAGTATAGTGTATGACAACAATCTATTCATAATTTTGTATCAAACATTTAAGGAAAGAAATAATACCACTTACCAAAAATTGAGGAGTTTAGAATACTTACAATCTCAGTTAATGAAGACAATAGTATTCTGGTACCAAAAATAGACAAAAACGTTGAAATAAATAAAATATGCAAGCCAATGTCTCTCATGAATATATATACAAAAATACTTAACAAACTTCTGGCATATCAAATTCAACAATATGTAAAAGGACAATACATGAAGACCAATTGGGGTTCATTCTAGGCATGCAAATTAGTTTAACATTGAAAATCAAACATTGTAACTCACTATATTAACAGACTTAAAGAAAAATTATAAGACCATCTCAGCAAATGGAGAAAAAGCATTGGACAATATCCAGATCCATTCCTAATAAAAACTCTCAACAACTTAGAAGTAAAAGGGGACTTCCTCAACCTGATGAAGGACATCTATGAAAATCCTACACCTAACCTAAGCAAATATCATGAAAACATAAATGCTTTCCCCTAGGATCAAGAACAAGGCATGTATGAAAGAAAGTTATTTGGGATATTGTTGTATTCACCTCTGGAAAGTGCAATGTGTCCCAATATTTTAGAATTTTGGTAAATTTTTGAATGTATGATTGTGTGTGTGTGTGTGTGTGTGTGTGTGTGTGTGTATGTGTAATAGACAATGATCTAAGTTCAAAGACCTCTAATTCAAAGATTGAAGAATGCTTATGTCAAAGAAAACCTCTCTTGATTAAAAATTGATAAAACTGGTTCTCAAACAGTTGACTCCAAAGCTTATCCAATTCTGCAAGATTTCTTGGCCAATGTTACCTTATCACAGCTGTGCTACAGTCTGTGCTCTCCTAGGTTTAGTGTTTTCAAACATTCATTCTAACTTACATGGCAGAATTGTTAGTAACAATGTAAGTGGGAGGTGGATATAAAGTTGACAAAATTCTCACAGAACATTTTCAAGTAAATGCTATTTCATTAAATTCTGGCACTGCCAATGATGGGGGACACAATTATACATTTCACAGATCCTCATTTTATTTAAACAATAGCTTGAAATCACAAATCATTTGTGTATTCGTTATTTGAATGCAATTCCTCCCGTGGAAGTCCTTCATTCTCTGAGTCCTTCATTTAGTCAGCTTGATTACATGTATCATAATTTTGTTTGTACAGTCTACCTTCCGGAGTACTGGTAAACTTCTGCCTCAGAAACTCTATGACATAGAATGAACAATATTAAGTTAGTGAGTCACTCTTACAGCATGTCCTTCCCTGCAAATTATCCTGTGCAAGTAATACTTTTGTTTCCTATCCATTTGATACATATTTATCATAAAGAAAATATCAGCATGTACTATTTTCATTATAGGAAAGCTAGCAAAATGATATTCTTACATAGTTCTCCTTTTGTGAAGATTTTTTTCATTTTAATTAATACTAGTTCATTTTTGAGTCCCTCTTCCCTTTAAATTTCAAGTAAATTTGTACTAGTATATATACCACATCTCCTAAATCTGAAAATCAGACCCAAAGATAGAAATATCTGAAAGAAGAAAACAATTTTAACGACTTTTCTTTCCCTAACTGGATATAAAACAAATATTCTTATACAGTGATTTTATTGTGAAGAATATGTATGTGTCCTGTTTTATTTTCAAATCCTGAATACTGGACTGAACAAATATTTTACCTGGTTCCTTTGCTTAGAGCACTTAAGAGACATAAAGGTTCTTTGCTCTTCAAGTTTTTATAAACTAGTTATGCAATGAAACATTTAATAACAATGTAAAGCAGGATATTAAGTGGTGCCATTGTGAAAGACTATTCTAAGCCAATGTGTTGGAGAATATTTGCTGCCAAAGTGTTAAGGTCAAAGTTGAGAAAAAGAGAGTAATTGGTATTGTACAGCCACAGTCTTCTTCCATAACTTATCCTTTCATTTCTAGAAGGCAGCCATTTAACAAGATTGAGGAATGATGTAAGACAAGATCATAGCTTGTTTCAACACCATCTCCCATTCTACATTTGACTCTCACACATTCCACCTTCACTTCAAGACTACTCTAATAGGAATGATGAATTTGCCTGAGCCACTTCCTAGAGATCCATCAATGCCTCTGAGATAATAGAACAAGGGAGAACAGCTCTAAATTCTGAATGAGTGCTGCATCTCCACTGCGTTTCTTTCTCTCTTTTTTTCTTTCCATAAATGCTAGGTTCAGTTTCTACATGTACAGAGGACTAGGAACTATTCAAAGGTCAAGGAATCCTTATCTGAAAAAGGACCTCTCTTTATTAAAGGCTTGGATTTTGAGACCTCTAATATGTTGAGTAAAAAGTCGGGGTGGGATTTGATTATCTCTGAAGTACTACTGTATAATTGAAATGCGTAGTCTTTAAAAACATATAAATTTAAGTTGAAATCCTGGCTTTAACTATTATGATTGGCATAGCCTTATAAAAGTTATTTTATCTTACTTAGTCTCAGTTCCCTTATCTGTAAATTGTAAATAACAATAAAATATTGCTACAAAATATATTTCTTACAAGGATTAACAGAGACCAAGCAACTAGTACAGTGCTTTGCACACACATATGTCAAAAATGATTATAGTTAGGGGAGGGATAGTAGGGGGTGGGGGGATTGGGGAGGGATAACATTAGGAGAAATAGCTAATGTAGATGGTGGGGGATGAATGCAGCAAACCACCATGGCATGTGTCAACCTATGTAATAATCCTGCACGATTTGCACATGTATCCTAGAACTTAATGTATAATAAAGCAATAAAAAATTTAAAAATTTTAAAATGTAAAAAAAGGAATGATTATAGTTACTATTCCCATTCTAATAGTCTTATAAATTTTTCTCTTTGAAACACTTCTAATCTAATTCTATAAAATGCCTCTTCATCTCCAGTATCTTCACCTAGGTTTAACAATGCTTTTATTATCTTATGTCTCTGATGTTATAATTGTTAATTAACTGGCCAGTATACCAATTGTCCTTTTTTTCTTTTTCTTTCTAATTTATATCACAGTTTAGCATTTAAAGAAGTGGCTTCTCAGGATAAAGGTATTTCTCTAGATGACAAGAAGGAGGAAAGTAAACAGGTAGAACGCCTAGGGCACAATCTGAATTCTTTAGATTGGCCTTCGACGACATTTTCGTTTTATAGAATAGTTTAGGTGAATACAACACAACTCCCTCCTCCTGTATGATAAGCTGCTTTAACTAAAGCCTTGAGTTATCTTTTATAATTTTGAAGTCTAGAAATGCCCTTTCTTTTGTAGTTGGCCTATAAATTCAAAAAAGCTATTAAAACCTTGCTAATCCTTCAGAAACAATTTGGACCTTAACTTGTATGATAAGCTCTCTTTGATTTCTGCAGCCAGCTTGGTACGAAACTGGAGCACCTATTTACATGACACTTAATATAATTATTTTATTTAGAACTCATAATATCCTTCAAAGCTATTATTTTAATTCTTACTCTTGAAAGTGGAGACTGAAACTCCAATTACGACGTTTGTACAAAATTCTATGACTAGGACTGGTTGGATCAGGATTAGAATACAGGTAGTCTCAGTTGACACCAAAACCTGTGTTATTTCCATCTCTCAGTGTGGCCTTAGTTATACACTACCACGAGTGGGTGAACAAAGATGATGGCACCGCCTAAGTCACCTTGGACAAGTCACTTTTCTTGTATGTTATCATTTTTCTCAAATGTGGTTTTTTCTCCAAAGCTGGGAAATATGTATATAAAGCTTCATTTTATTGTATTTTATATTTTTGTTTATAGTATTATTTAATATGTATTATGTATTTAATAAAGTTATTTCATAAAAAGAAAATAATCATTTGCTAATACAAATGAGGATATGAATAGCATTTCACATACTTCTGAGCCATAGAACTTAGATTTTGGCAAGACTAGACCTCATCTAATCCAGTCTTCTCATTTTCTAGATGAAGTGTTTGTGAGGGAGAGAGTGAGGGAGAACATTTGGCCAAAGTTGGGGGAAAGTTTGTGGCTGAGCTGCAACTCAGTTATTCTGATTTCCACCTGAACGATTTTCCCTACTCATTTTGAGTTGTGAATAGCTGCTTTCCTGGCAGGCAAATTGTGAGTTTTGATAGCGCAGACTATGGGGTTGGGCTGCCTGCTGCAGACTCTCGGAAGCTGCTGCACAAAAGCCTTTGCAGGGCATGCTTCATCTCCTTGTTCCGCAAAGTATAAACGAACGGGTTGAGCATCGGAGTTATGATAGTGTAGAAGACAGCAGGGGCCCCAGCTCCTGCCTCGCTGGAGCGAGGCTGCAGGTAGATACAGACAGGTGGCACATAGTACAGGAACACCACGGTGAGGTGGGCAGTGCACGTAGAGAAGGCCCGCTGCCGGCCCTGGGCTGTGCGGATGCGCAACACAGCTGCCACGATGAAGACGTAGGAAATACCGATGAGGATGAGGCAGCCTGCAGCCACGATGCCAATGCTGGCAATCATGACTAGCTCATTAATGGTGGTGTCTGTACAGGCAAGCTTCAGGACAGGGGGGATGTCGCAGAAGAAGTAGGCAATGTGGCAAGGCCCGCAGTAGAGCAGGCGGAAGGTGAGGGAGGTGTGGATTGCAGCGTGTGTGGCACCTATGGCCCAGGTGATTCCAGCCAGTACTGCACACATCTTTCTGTTCATGGCCCCTGGGTAGTGCAGGGGTTGACAGATAGCCAGATAGCGGTCATAGGCCATGACTGTGTACAGGAAGCACTCAGTGCTAGCCAGAAAGTGGAAGCAGTAAAGCTGTACAACACAGCCCTCAAAGGAGATCACCTTCCCATCCAGAGTCAGCTGCCCTGCCATGACCTTGGGCACTGTCACCGTAGACAAACAGGCATCCAAAAAGGAGAGGTGCCCCAGGAAGTGGTACATGGGTGAACGGAGGTGAGAGTCAGAGCCCACAGTGAGGAGGATGAGGAGATTCCCAGCCACAGTGATGCTGTAGATGAGAAGGAAGAGGAGGAAGAAGAGGCTAGGATGTTCAGCTGTGTACATTAAACCCTCCAGGAAGAAATGGCTCACCACAGTCTGGTTGGGGTTCTCTGTTGCCATGGTCATCTTCTCACACACAGAGCAGCTAGTCATCCCCTTTGCAACAAAAGTGACATTAACAGAAAAAGTTGCTGTATCCCTTTCCTGAAATATCATTATCCATCAAGCCATACCACCGTGGTCTTACCCAGTAAGCAAGAGAAAGATATACAGGTTCAACCCACAGTTTTGTTCTCTCTAGTGCTTCTTTGCTGCTTGTTTCTTCATAATGAATCTTTCGGTATAAGATCTGCAGTTTTGGTGAGGCACATAAAGGACTGTAAGAATTATTTGCAGAAATGCACTCCCTAAATAATGGCAATAAACATACGGATTATAAATCCTACATTCAATGAGTATTTTTTGCAAATATTCCAGAATTGTGATGCCTCTGCCCTCCTACTGTATGTACTCTGCCATGCTGTAGATGTGAAAAGGCAGGGTGTTATAGCTGTGTCATCAAGGAGATGCAACCTGTCTTTGAGTAGGGCTTGCCTAGAGTTTGTGTGCTATTACATCAGCTAGAAACACAGCAGCCCCACCCATTACTCACCCAGAGGAGTTCTTTGGAATTTCAGTCACCCACAATCCTCAAGTGTGTAACAATGAAGCCTTGGAGAGTAGACTGAATAATCATCAGGACAATTTGTTGGATACATTTTGTGTTCTTCCTGTAAAACTCTGTTTCAAAATTTTGGGAATTGTTTGCCTTTTTCTTTTTTGTTGAGCCTTTCCACTGGACTACAATGGAGATTTAAAGAGTTCTCTTTGATTCTTCCATCTTTCACTTCATAAACCTAATAGATGTTGCATTAGGTGAAAATTTTCTTTGAACTACTTTTTTTTTCCTGTTGTCTCTTTAATTTCCATGTATTTTACTTAAACCCACCTCTTCATATTTTACACCTAGGTTTTCACAATGGCATTTTATGTCCCATCTCTTACTTACTCCCTGATATACCAAATGATTCAGTATTCAACTATTTTGTGCCAGTCCTCTTCAAAAAAACAATTTGAATATGTATTTTTTACTGTTCCCCACTGCCTAAGATATAAAGTGTATCTCTGTCCTATATTCAGGGTCATCTGTAAGCTATTTCCATTATCATGAAAAAAATCTTTATCTCCTATAATCCCCTAAAGAAACTCCTGTTATCCAGGGATGCTATTTGCCTCATACTCTCCTCAATTTGCCATAATCTCTCTCTTATGTTGTCACAGGATTCTTAGGATGTCACTTTTCCAGAAAGAAACCTCTGTGTCTGGTGGTACCTCTGTTTGAGTTTTGATCATGCCCACTGGGCCCTTTCCACCCACTAGGCCTGGCAGGCTGCACTTGGCTTATGCTACTAGCCTGGATCCCAAACTTGTCAAGGGTAAAAGTGGTAAGAGGTATATGAGTGAGCAAACACACGGGTCCAGTCACTGCACACAGCCAGGCACACTGGCTGTTGTGGTGGTGCAGGCAGTTCCAGGTGCCAGCAGAAATATGGGCATGATGTGAGGTTGCAGCTGGACCAGGCATACTGCAAGTGGCTTCCACTGCATCCAGGGCACCAGCATCTGGATGAGGGGAATGTGGTGGCACCCAAAAACTCAGAGATGCCAGGAACTGCAGAGTCCCAAAGAAGATAGTACAGCCTGTCATAGCCCTGGCTTAGGGAGTCCTGAGGTCTGGGATCCCAGAAGCTCTTCTCTCTTTGTCATCACCCACAATGAAGCAAATGAGGGGGTGTGTTTTAGTCCATTTGTGTTACAGCCCTTTCAGTCCCACCACCCCACTCTGACCTATATCTTGTGAGCTGGCCTGGCCTCACAACTGCTTCCTGTCCTGTCGGATGGCTACCCAGCACTGGCAGAGGGTGGGAGGACTATATTTTTTACAGCAGCTCTGGCTTGCATAATCCTGAAGTCTGAGCCACCGGAACGATCACCACATTTTACTTTCATAGTCCAGGAGCATGTCACCACCCACAGCTTGGCAAGTGGGCCAGGAATATGTTACACCACTTTTAGCTCTCGCCATTTGCTGGATTCCAAGTTCTTTTCCTGCATCCAGGAAGAATGAGGGTATATGGACAACTGGAGGGTGAGCAAAGTGCAGAGTAGCTTTATTAAACAAAACAACAGCTCTCAGGATACCTGAAGTCAGTAGCTCCCTTCTGCAGGCAGGTGCCCCCGATGAGTACTGAGTTTGGCTGAGTCTGAGGCTTTTATGTGCTCAGAATGGAGGAAGTCCATGCTGATTGGCCCATGGGTAGCTATGGGTGGGCCTGGAGAAAGCACCATCTAATTGGCCAAAAGGCATCAGTGAAGTTCTCACTCTGGGTTGTGGACTTCACCCAGAACTGGCAGCCCAGATCCCAGGCTTCAGGCCATCCCTGGCATGAAGGTGGGGCTTCACTGGGGACCCATCCCTCCTACCAAGGAGCCTGTCTGCATCCTGCCATTCATGGTATACAGGCTGTCCAGGCCAAGGGATGCCTACAGGCCTGCACTAAGCCACTCTCAGCCCCTTGGCCTGTGCTCCTGTGCTCATTGGCACCCAAAGTCCAGAGGGAGACAAGGCAGCAGGGAGCTGGCGTGTCAGCATCGCTCTGAGTGCATGCACACACAGCTGAGATGCAATAGAACCTGGGCTTGGCCACAACTTTGCTCCATAATGGAGTGGGCACTGGGAGTTGAGAAAGGCCAGGGAGTGGGAGCAGGCACTTCCAAGCCTGTTGGGGAAGGGGGCTTCCCCAGTTGCAAGAGTACAGAGATGCCCATGTCCAAAACCATAGCAGGGTGGCTGCAGCTGTGCTTGGGAGGATGGGGCTCCTGCCCCACCAACTTGGCAGGGCCTGGGGCTCTTGTTGGGATAACCTGTTTCCAGCTCTTGTCAGTTTTGTGGAGTGCACAGCCCCAGCTGTTCCCCACCTTGCTGCAGCTGGCATCTTCTTGGCAGCTGCTCCAAATGAGCCACTGCCACCATCAATATAACCACAACACTCCATTTTCAAATATAAATGGAAGACATTCAATCTCTACCTCCCCAAATCTATTCTCTATGGTTAATTTTGAACTTTAATTTCTCAAGGAGCCTTTATAAATATTTTCTCTTTCATTGATTTATTAATTTCTGAAGCTGAATCATATTTATGATAATTATTAATAGACACCTAGGCAGATATTAGCTTAAAAAGTTTTAGTGATTAATGTGCATATGTCACATCTTCCTAAAAGAAACAAAGGGAAAAATTCCTATACCTTCTCTAACATTTTGGGGACAGAACAGTAGAAATAGTAAGAAACCAAGTTTATTTGGATTCCTATAAACTTAGGTTCAGACCCTTTTCAACCACTTATTACCTGATATGAATCATGGTAATTGATTTCTGTTCTTTCATTTCTGAAGTTTAAAAAGGTGATATCATTATTGGTCCTCCATTTAATGTATCTATGATTTTACTTAGAATAGAGTAGGGCACACAGCATAGGACCTTAAATTTCTTCATATTCAATAATTTATTAAATGCAATGATATCTCCTATGCTATTCCTGACAAGAAGTTACAGAACTTCTACTTGAAAAGTTTAGTAAAGAAGTAATCTCTATTTTACAACAGTGCCCATTTCATTCTTGGATAGATCAACATATAATGTTATTTACATTAGCAGTATGTATGTATTCCTGATATTAAACTATGTTTAGAGTTGCCCTTTTCATACTCACTACAATGACTGTGATGAAAATGATAAGGATTAATAAGTGTTATTGGATGTGGAGAAACCAAGACTCCTATATATTGCTAGTGAAAATGTAAAATAGACACACCACTTTGGAAAACAATTTGGTAGCATCTTAAAAAGTTAAAAATGAATTTACCGTATGACCTAGCATTTCCACTCTTAGGATTCTATACAATAGAAACAAAAACATGTTCATACAAACATTTGCATATGAATATTTATAGCAGAATTATGCACAGTAGCCAAAGCCTAGAGAAAAACAGAATTGTTGTTCATCATCTGGTGAATGGATAAACAAAGTAAGTTTATCTGTACAGTGAAAATCATTCAGCAAGAAGAAACAAAATATTTTTTTTCTTTTTTTTTCTAGACAGTTCAGCAGGAAGGAACAAAATATTAATACAGTTTATAAAATGAATGGATCTCAAGAATATTATGTAAACAAAAGAAGCCAGGCTCAATTGAATTAAGATTTTATGAAATATTCTTAAAAGACAAATGAAAAATGAAAGTAGATTAGTGTATGTCCAGAACTGGGGATGAGAACAGGAAATGACTACAAATGGATATAAGGGATCTTTTCGAAGGGATGGAATGTTCTAAAATTGGATTGTGGTAATAGTTAGATAACTTTGTAAATGTGCTAGTTAGTATCCCATGTAATGAAGAGACTGTATATTTTGTAATCTTCCAGACACTATGATATAGTGAAACGATGTAAGAATATGTATGTATTTTTCTATATGGTGCAGTGAAATGATATCAGCAGAAAGGTCTGGACAGAGGTAGATCTCTTATTTAAATCTGGCCCTTATATGAGCTCAGTAGCTCGGTAAGCTCCCTTGAAATTTCTGAGCCTCAGTTTCCTCATTTGTAAATAATTTAAAAATAATCAAATTTAACATTTTAACAAGAAATACCTATATATAGTGTGTGTATATATAAAATAGTAACTGTTGAGTAATTTATCAATTAATTGGTAGCTTTTATTATTGCATATCTAATATTCTATGAGTTCCTGCCCTCTTTTGAAATTGTTCTAACATCTATCATTCTATTCTTCTACAGTCACTGTAGTTGATAACTTAAACTCTCACCTTTGGCTTATTTTAATATGACCAAATAGTTGGTCATATTGACACCGGTCACCATCCTTCTCTAAACTTTTCCCATACAGTGTTTTCACATTAACCGTTTTCATTCTCCAATTACAAGATGGAGATTCCACTGTCCATGGCTAATCTAAACTTTTCAAGATGGGTTAACATCCTCTTTGCTGTCTGAGGATAGCACTTTCTTTCCATGTAAATGATCGATTCTATTTTATTAGAGTTTTATCCTTCATTGGGTTATATTGTGTTTCCTGCAGGGCCTAGGAATTTTTAAAAAATAATTTAGATACTAAAT